TATTATTATTATTATTATTATAACATAACCAAGATTTTCTTGTTGCATTGTCTTCAATATGCTCCAGAACAGTTGAATTTTGTTTCCATACAATTAAACTGACAATTTGCATGACAATCCATTAACTAATCCACCATTTCATATCTTAATTTCACACAGCACACTGAATCTAAACAATTTTGGATTTGAAAAACCTTTTACCTAAAATGCGGTGGGATAATTTCCGACTCAGTGGTTGCATTTGCAAACCGGCTTTTCAGAATTCAGATCAGTTGCCTCGGCTTGCCTTAACGATAAAAGTAACAAGTGCACGAATATGCGTTGTACAGTACTTTAGGTCCATTTTTTATTGGCTACTGGTGGATTTGCGTGCTGTGCAGGTGCAGGAAATTGGATTAATTCAGTGAGCCGTGGTTCCGTTAATCGTGGGTTAGTATTCCACGTGAAGATAGGGCCTATCATCACCTGTAGAAGGAAAACAAACCGTTTGCCTCGTTATAAACTAGATATTTCAGGAAGCCATTCGAAAATAACATTCATTCCGGCTTGGGACCATTCCTCGCAAGGTAAGGTCGTGCCACGTGACCACCAGCACCCAGACTCCAGAAGAAGGGGCGTGGCTACCGCCCTTTCTTGGGCTGCTACATGATGTACTTTCTTTCCTCCGACGTGCGTAAGCGGTTCGGCTTTCTCTCGCGTTTGCGCCGGGACACGTGACAGGCAAAGACGGCGGCCGGGCCGGCTCACAGCCCGCGTGTAGCGTTCGCTTCTGGCTTGCCGCCCCCTTCCTTCCTTCCTTCTTTCTCTCCCTCCTTCGGAGCTGACGCCGCGGCCTCAGCCCGGGCACGCGGGGAGCAGGCAGGTACCTTGTCGCGGGGGGGGGGGTCAGGGAACTCCAGTATGAGGGGGATGGCGCGAGTTTCGGCCTAGGCAGGAGCTGGGTGAAGGGAGAGCCTTCGGGAGTCCGGCCCGAGCTGGCCTGAAGGTGCTGGCGGTCGGATGGCGTGAGGAGGGCCGGTGGTGGAGCGGACTCCCCGATTGTCTTGAGGAGACGCCAGCCATGCTTGAGCGGGGTGGGTCGGTGGGCGCGACGCTGCTGGCTGGAGCTGCTCGGCGCGGCTGGCGGGGGAGCAACCCAGACGCTTCAGCGGCGGCTGGTGGGGCCCCTCGGGTCTCGGGAGCGTCCGTGGCTTTTCGGGGAAGGGGCTCGGGTGCCCCCCCCCCGGTGGCTGCTGCTTTCCGTGGTGATGCTGCAGAACCCCGGGCGGGCGGGCGGGCGGAGAGAGAAGCAAGCGCGTTGGGAACTGCACGGGGAAGGGGCTTCAGAAATGCAAGACCAAAAAAAATAAATAAGTAAAAAAAAGACCTTGGCTGATCGAGTGCCCGGGTTCGCTTTAGCCCAATATCTTCTTCTCCCCCCCCCCCAAACAAAACTGCCCAGGTGCTTTCGAAAAGCTCAGAAAGGGCAAGAAAGTAGTGCTTTTTTTATTATTTTTTATGATGCGCTCGTCCTCTGCGCCCGCCCTCCCTCCTCCCGGTACTTGGAGATAAATCTTTAACATGGAGGCCTCGTTTAATCGTCGCTGATAGTTGCCTTGCGGGATCGTGGAATAATAAAAAGGATTTCCTGGGTCCTGCCCAGGCTGCACCGAGTGTTTCAGTTGATTTATAGTCCGTTTTTTCCCCCATCAGAATAACTGCTACAGAATGGTAGAATAGCTTTTTTTTTTTTTCTGTTTATGGTCTCCTTTCAAGCATTTATGCTTGATTTTAAGAGCTTACCTTAAGAGGAGGAGAGCCTTTTTTTTTTTCTTTGTTGCTATTTAAAATTATTGGGATTTTTTTTTTACCAATTTGCAAGTACAAATGTCTGCTATTTAGCAACTCTTCATTCTTCTATATATTTCTTTAGAATTGAGGGTTCCGTATACTGATTTTTTTTTTCCCCCATACCAAAGCTTGCCTTGTGTTTTCTGTTCTTAGGGCTTTATAAATAGCTTATCCTTAAGTACCTGTTTCCAATAATACCCTGGGTTTTACTGTAAATCTTTTAACCTTGTTTTGGAATAGTATCCTGCTATTCAGTCCAAAAGTAATAGAAAGTTTCCTTGCATTAGGTCATGGTAATATGATCTTTTTAAAAATGAGTGTATGGGAACATATGACATAAAAAGCTTACAAAGCAATACAAGAAAAGGGGGACTTTTAAAGGAGGAAGAGCAGGTCCCATGGATTTTTATACTGAAAGCAATCTTGATTGAAATGTAAAGAAAAATACAAACAGATCTAGAAGTTATAGTTTTGTTTGGTCCTGTATCATAGAATATTGGGTGTATGTAGAAATCTCACAAATGTGTATAACTGAATATGAAAGGTTTTTTTTCCCTGAGATACAAAATATCAGAGCTTGGAAATAATTGGACCACTTCATGAGAGATAACTAGGTTGTCTGCAACAATAAGCATTTGACATGTATGAGTTCATGTGCTCAAACAGACTGAAAAATCTGTTACATTTCATGGCAAAACTGGTCATTTAAATATATTGGGATGAGGAAGGAGATCTAGCAAGAGTTTAGCTAAAGGTCTGAAAGTAAAGCTGGAGGAGAAGGAGTCAAACAAGTTGCCGAGAATTTATAGTTTTTTTAATCTTTAATTTACCATTTTTGAAAGATGGTAAAGTAAGGCATCTGGCTTCTTCTCTTCATCCCATATCATCCTCTCTATTAACTTCCTTTGCAGTCTTCATGAAATCCCCCCCCCCCATTTATTTCAGTGTAAGTCCTCCTTCCCTACCAGATTTCTATAGGGAAAAACATGGAAGCAAATAGTTCCCTCTGCCCCACCATGACTAAATGTTGTGTGCTGAGTCATAAGTAGATTTTGACTGTGGTGCCTCATATTTTTCTAGTAGCCTCTAATTGATTTTCTTTGAAAAAAATGTATTCGATATTGTAGATAAAAGTTCCTACTAGATTTTCATTTATTCTGTCTTGTATATTCTTTTGTTTTCATAAGGAACCATAGCAATTTTAATTATAAAGTTCATGTAGAGTATTATATTGCATAAAAGTACTTTGTTGATGAAATATGAAATCTTTCCATCTGAGAAACTCTTTGGCTGGTCTTCAACATATCCTCCACCATAGAAATATTGAATTAAATTGTCACCTTTCTTTATTAATACAATGTGTTTTTAAGCCCCCATAAGCCAAATCTTAGATGTACATTGCATCCTTTCTTCCTAGAATATAAGCTAGGCTGGAATGAAGTAAAATTTATCTGTGTGGATTTCCTAAGTCTGGTTTATAAAGCAATGATACCAAATGTGTGTAGCCATATAATTTTGCATGTAGATTAATTTTCAGGTTGCATTCTTAAGGAAGTTTGCTGTTAGCTTTACTTGTATGTGTATAACTGCTTTTAATTTATGTTTTAATCATTTTTCTACCTACAGATAGGCAGTTTTCCGTCATGGACTGGCAACCAGATGAACAGGGTCTCCAGCAAGTTCTTCAGTTACTCAAAGATTCCCAGTCTCCAAACACAGCAACCCAGCGTATTGTGCAAGATGTATCCTTGAACTAATTAGCATTGCTACAGCATTGCTTGAGATTTAAAAAGAGAACAAAATGCAGGCAATGAACTTAAAGAATAGAGGGAGAAAAATGATATGTCACATTGGGGAATACAGGTAACCCTCGACTCATCACCATTTGTTTACTGACTGTTCAAAGTTACTATGGCACTGAAAAAAGTGATCTATGACTGTTTTTCACACTTATGACCATTATAGCATCCCCATAGTCATGTGATCAAAATTTGGGCACTTGGCAACTGGCATGTATTTATGACAGTTACACTGACCAGGAGTCATGTGGTCATCATTTGTAACCTTCCCAGCTGGCTTCTGATAAGCAACCTCAGCTGCATGATTCACTTAATTGCAGTGATTCGTTAACAATTGTGGCAAAAAAGGTCATAAAATGGAGCAAAGCTCACTTAATAACTGCCTTGGTTCGCAATGGAAATTTTGGGGTCAATTGTGGTTATAAGTCGAGGACTACCTGTAATTATTAATGAGATAAACATTTTATTAACAACTTTCCCAACATACTATTTTTCCAGATATTTGGGGCTGTAATTCTCGTATTCCTGGACCAGCGGTAATATTGATTGGATTTATAATTGTAAGGACCCACTTCAATTAACCAGCCAAGAAAGCAGAACTCTTGAAACTGACATTGTCTCAAAAGGATACTTTTATTAGGAGTGACAATAGGGAAGTCAAGGCGAGATCGCTGAAATGGTATAGTTAAGCAAGCAATATTCCTCCTCCCACCAAAGTCACAGTGTCCATTTGAAATCCAGCCAATCCACAGGTGGTCTGAAGAGCTGGTAACAGGCACAGTTGGTGCGCATCTCAAGGTCTTCTCCAGCTTTGTTTCTCTGTAACCGTCTCCCTGATAAGGGAGACACATTCCTTTCTCAAAGGGCTGGAGGCAGGAGGAGAGAGTAGAAAGCGAAAGTTATCCCAAGCTAATGCAAAGCTCCCCCTTCCCCCCCCCCCAGCAGAATGGCAGGCCTCAAAAGTAGGGTATATATGTAAGGAAAAGAATAATGGTTTGGGGATCTGACAATAATCTAGGTCACTGGAAGATATCACAGACTCCTGGTCTAAAATAGTGGTAACAGAAAACAAACCTGAAAGTGGTTCCTCTGGCAGTGTCCTATTCTTGATGTAGCCTCCTGTAATGGGCTGGCTGAGGGATTATGGAACTTGCATTCCAGCATATCTGGAAAACACCAGGTGACAAAAAGCTGCTGTCATAGGGGAATATGGTCTTCTATTACTACATCTGTGGCTGAAAAAAAAGGGCTTTTGGAGATTTTTAGTTAGAACATATTATGAATGAATTCTTAACTAATGCTACAGAAACTGAAACAGCTCAACCAGTTCCCTGATTTCAATAACTATTTGATATTTGTTCTGACACGACTGAAATCTGAGGGTATGTCTATTAAACCTATTACAACACATTTTTTTTAAAAAAACACTATATTATATAGTCTGTATAGTATTGGGATACAACACCTAATTTATAATGTCTGCTTAAAGTAATTGGCCATTAGAATATTTGAGAAAATTAGATTTTGACTTAAGTGATACGGCATGTTTAGCTTCTGGGTAATGTTGGAAAACTGCCTGATTTAACAGCTTAAAGGAGATTTCCCTTTTAATGTGTGACTGATAATTTGGTGCTCTATATGGCTTAGAAAGCAAAGGAGGATTTCAGGAATCAAAAAGTCTAGCTTCCTTTGTTTTGTTTAATGCTGCTCCCTTGGAGCTATGCTCCTCCTTCAAAATGGCAGAGCAAGGGTTAATAGGCTGAGCTTTTGGAAGAGCTCCTATGAAAGAATCTAGAATAAGGTAAGAAGAAGACAAGCCCATTGTAAACATATAAATTAACTTGCAAGAAATCCTATAGATAAAGGTGTTCTGTGACTGATGACCAAAGGTATGCCCTGATTTTTAAGTATACAAAAAGGATTGAAGTTGTTTGGATCTTTACAATAATTCGTAATAAGCTACTGTTTGTATTAGAAACTAGTGAGACTCCTGAGTGAAATAACTGTAATAATTTTACCTTTTTGTCCTCTTAAAGCTTTGGCAGTTTTGTTGGATGACTTAGGAACAAAGAATCATTTAATTCTATACACAAGATTTATTAAAATGCCCTCATTTATTTTTGTGAAAACTGGGTTCATATAGCACACGTTGCCCTTATAGTCACCCAGCCTTACGTCCTTTTTTAACAAAATTTAATCTACTAAAAGGCTAATATTATTAACTCTTTAACTTTTATTTTTGGTATCCAGGTAGTAGTTTTTACCCTATCAGTTATAATACTTTGGGACACTGAAACTAAAAAAGTACTGTTTTGAATAATCCATGGATCTTGATTTAAATTTTAATTGAAAGAATATGATCTTCAGCTCTGTTCTGAATTATAGTCTAATAAATATAACAAGAAAAACATAACTTGAATGGAAATTGATGTAACCTAGCTCAGAACATCAACAAGGGTACTGTCAAATTTCTTAAAATCTGGAAGTGTACATATCACATAAGACTAAAGAAAGAACACGAATGCTGAATTGCAGTGTAGAGCCATAATCCAGTCATGCTGCTAAATTTGTTGGCTAAATGGGAGGTCAGACTGTGACCCTTTTCAACACAGCTTGGTTAATGAACTTTCTCCCGTTATAGCAGGATCGGATGTTAGAGTTCAGACATAGTTTTGCAGTCCAAAGTATATGAGAGAATTATATGTGCATAATCGTATGGATGTCTTTAAGACACTCACAAGGAAGTTAATGAAATGCATGTGCATATGCATACATAGACTGCATTACTTTTTTGGTATACATAGCTTCATTGTATGGCAGTCAGCCAGTTGTTGAATCCAGTTGTTTTTTCAGTGTCTTTATTCACATCACTTCTATTTGTTTTTTATATGTTATTACCTAAAACATTTCCGTAATTTTATATAACATCTCGTAAAATTTAGTTCTAATCCCACTGATCTCTTTAAAACAGATGAACCTACCCGTTCTCTGAGTGGCTTGATCCTGAAGAACAATGTGAAAGCTCACTATCAGAGTTTTCCCCAGCCTGTTGCTGAATTTATTAAGCAAGAGTGTCTTAATAACATAGGGGATGCTTCTTCTCTTATAAGAGCTACAATTGGTGAGTAGTGGTAAGAAGCTAAGGATGAATTACTAACTAGAATTAATCGGTGCTATGTTTTGGATATGAAACAAGTTAAGGAGCATATTGGAATGTGAAAATAGTATCTGTCTGCAACTTTGTGCAGCAGCAGTGTTCCCCCCCCCCCAGGATTATATTGAAACTGCAAATAGCAGCTATGCATATCAATACTGGATAGAGACATAGGTACTTTGAAGAGTTTCAGATAGGTGCTATTTTCTCTCCTATATACTCCCAGCCATCTTTTAAACATTATTTCTGAAGAGCTGCTCTTTGTTATTAGAAAGGGAAGGTTATACTAAATTAGTGCGGTGAAAGTGTTTTAATTAGAAGCAGAATTATTTAATAAGATGCTACTTCAACTTGTAATTGTCAGCTAACTGTGCAAATTGGAACTTGCTTACCTCCCTCTGTGTATAGGAACACTTATAAATAGTAGGGTGATGGGGCTCATCAGATATGAAGCAGGTAGACTGTGTAAACTGGATTTGTCTGTATAGACCTTAGTCATAGCATAGCATATTCTCTTTAAGGGCAAAAAAATATCATTTAAACTGTAAACGTTTCATGTACCCCAATTGTTGGCTCTCCAAAAATTAACATGTAGCATAAAGGATTTGCACACTTTACGTTAATTAACTTTAAATAATAGTTCCTCCTAGTATGTCTCAGTTGCTTTAACAGTCTTAGCATGTTTTCTGTTAGATTAGTTGAGGAATCAACAGCTCGCAGCCCCAGTGAACGATAGGTAACAGAAGCATGTTGGGTCATAAGTAGAAAATTCATCTATTTTTTTTATAGCAAACATTATAGAATCAAAGTTCTTATATGAGAAATTGGCTTGTGAGGTGATCTTGTAGTTTGTTCTTTCTTTCGGCAGGTATTCTTATAACAACAATTGCTTCCAAAGGAGAACTGCAGATGTGGCCAGAGCTTCTGCCCCAACTCTGCAATTTACTTAATTCTGAAGATTACAACACATGTGAAGTGAGTGGGGCAACTGCATAGAATTAATTGATGGCTTGAGCCAGCAAGATGGTCTTAACTATGGCTATAGAGTATAAATTTGGCACTGAAATTTTCCTAAGAAAGCTAGTGTAAGTGATGCCAGAAGCCATATTTTATTTAGTGTGTTAAGGATTTTTCAGTTTTTGCTAGGTATAATATATTAATATATTGAACTTCTAATTTATTAGTCACTTCCTGTTCATTGGAATCCTATGTCTTCTCAGTAATCAGATGTTGTGAGTTTACTTTTTCTGATGAGTAAACATCAGACAGAGTCCCTCTGTGAGGGAGATGGCAGTTTCAAATTAGATAGACAGACAAGGTTTCCCCTTCCAGTCTCGTCCAACTCTAGGGGGCGGTACTCATCTCTGATTCACAGCTGAAGAGGCAATGTTGTTGGAAGACATTTCCATGGTCATGTGGCTGGCATAACTATATGCTGAAGGTGCACACATCACTGTTACTTTCCCATCAAAATGGTACCCTTTTATCTACTTGCATTTGCATGTTTTCAAACTGGCAGGAGCTGTGGCCATTAACGGAAACTCATTCCATCACACGGTACTGTCTCAAATGCCAACCTTGCTGTCCACAAGCCCAGCATCTTAACCGCTTGGCACTTGTCCCCCTCTAAGATAGATAAGATGGGATAAGATAAGATATTGGTGTTTTTAGTATTTATAAAGTCAATGGAATATTTTAAAAAGCCTAGCTGGTATTAGATGGTGTTCACAATTTTTTGAAGATATAGTGTCATATTTCAGAAATGTGTTCTTACTGTACACAATGTGATACAGGTAGTCCTTGACTTACAACCAGTTGGTCAATAATCGTTCAACTGACCCATCCTAAAAGTTACAACAGCTGCCTCACCCCTATCCCACATCATATGATTGCATTTGGGGAACTTGGCAACTTGCATTTACAACTGGTTGCAGCATTCTGCAGTCACATGACTGCATTTTTTTTTGCTGTTTCTAGCAAAAACCTCACCCATTCAGAAGAATAGATTTGCTTAATGACAATACGATTCACTTTATGACCATCCTGAAAAGAGTCACATCTGACCTATGACTGAAATTTGGAACTCCATTGTGTCTGTAAGTTGAGGACTACCTGTATTCTTGTTTTACTGTGCAATTTGTCATCGTAAAACTTCATAGTTAAAATGAGAGGTATGTGAAAAAAGAGGTAGTTGGGCAGTATCAGATGCAACTGGTACTCTCAAAAAAAAATAATCAAGTTAAACATTTGCATCTTGGAAATATAGGTATTCTAAGAATATATCCATGTGCTCACAGTTTTTACTGATTAAAAAAACATACCGAGTGTTTATTTTTTTAAAGAACAATCCAATTGGTACTCCTCCTGCAATCTCTTTAGCTATGTAGCCACTAGAATGGCACATAACCAGGTTGTTGCGTAGGAAGTCTGGCTCTGGGTAAGAGGACAACACGTTCCTTCAAATTGGCAGCTTGTCTCTTCTCTCTGGCACAGAGCGAATACCGCTCATGTTAGAAAAGCAATTTGAGGAGCAGAGCCAAGCTGCAGGCGATCAGATGAATTTTAGATGCTCTTTGCCTGTTTTTCAACTCCATATATTTGTTACTAAATGTTACAATGCTCTATAGGGGGCATTTGGTGCCTTACAGAAGATCTGTGAAGATTCTGCTGAGCTCCTGGACAGCGATGCCCTCAATCGGCCTCTTAATGTCATGATCCCAAAGTTCCTTCAGTTCTTCAAGCACTGCAGCCCCAAAATTAGGCATGTATCTGTTCTAGCATCAGTAAAACGTTTAGTGGAATGTGCCATTTTGGATTAAAATTAAAGATAGTAATTAAAGGTTTTTGTAATATGTTTACTGCTTTTTGATTGAATAAACCAAAATCATATTGCTATCCAATTTCAAATATTTTGTCTGTCATAAAATTAGTAGTAGGTTTGGCAAGTAGCTCAGATATCTAAACTAGTCTTACTGATCTTTGGAGGCTCCAATTAGGTTGATTTCCAATTCTCAGTTTTCTTAGCAATCTGGAGAGTGCTGACAGTCAAGCTCCACTCATTACAATAATTAACCACAGTACTTGTGGGTAATTCAGCCACAATTTTCTAAGTTCACATGATGCTAACCCATTTAGAATGATTTTGCAAAGTGCAGTGACCAAGTCATATTAAAAAGAAAGGACAAAACATCTGATAGTTTAGTGTAATATGTGAATCTAGATAGCTTCATAAACCTATGACACTAAGCCAAAAGTAGTAGTATAAATGGAAGCAATTCCCTTGTTCCTGGTGGGATTTTTTTTCTTTCTTTACAAGTAATGGAACTAATTAGAAACCACCATTAACTGTAGGTCTCTAGTTTACACATAACAGGTGATAGAGTAAATTGGTAGTAAACAATAATAGATATGTGACCATTGGGTTTTGCATCCTGAATTGCTTGGAATACAGTTTCCAATTGAAGAAAATGTTCATAATTGCAGTTTTCAGATTAGGCCCCTTGATTACATAAGCGGAAAAGCAAAGTTGATAGAAAGTGCTGCTTGTCATATCCAGGCTTCCAAAAGCAAGATTCTTCTCTGATTGTTCCCTATAGAGCAGGGATGTCAAACTGCCGGCCCGCGGGCTGGATGCCTCATGGCGAAACTGTGCCCACCCATTGCTGGCAATAGAAAAAAAAGTCGCAATATGTCACGACACGTCACGTGACATTGCGAGTTTGACACTCCTGCTATAGAGTGCCAAGTGTGAAAAAGAACATTTATTGTTATATAGTGACCTATTTTAATCTTTAGAACTATCCTTGTAACATAGTTATCATTTTAGTAATGTAAAAATATATTTTCTATTTTGTTAGGCTTTAATAGAATGAATCAAATTATTTTGATCATCAGTTTTACTGTTAATTAATTTATGATGTTTGCAGTGTCCCAGGGTCGCGTAATCACCTTTTGTAACCTTCTGACAAGCAAAATCAATGGGGAAGCCAGGTTCACTTAACAACTGTGTTGCTAACGTAACAATTGCAATGATTCACTTAATCACTGTGGCAAGAAAGGTTGTAAAATGGGGCAAAACTCACTTAAATGATTTGCTTAGCAACAGAAAAGTTGGGCTCAATTTTGGCCATAAGTCAAGAATTACCTGTAGAAATAAGTAAAGAAAATTGTTAAATCTGATCTATTTTTAGAACAAAATATTGGTTGTCCAGAACTTATCTGAGAGTATATCATGTTAGTAAATTACTGAAGTCAATAGCAAAGGCTAAAGCAAATGTTTTTAAAGCTGTTGTTTTCTGTTCCTTAGGTCACATGCTATTGCTTGTGTCAACCAGTTCATCATGGAGAGGGCCCAGGCCTTGATGGATAACATCGATACATTTATCGAGGTGAGCGGAATTAAACTAGGTCAACAGTTGTTTTGAAGGTTGAGTTTTTATAGTCCACTTTATGTATTAGGTGTTGTATGGACTTATCAGTATTATAGTTTTAGAGTACAGATGGGTAGTTCCCAAATCACTTTTCTCCAAATCCCAGATTCCTTCCAACTTGCAACACTTCCTGGTGAGCAACTATAATAAACTGATAAGTTTCTGATAGACTTCTAAAAATTAACAATGCATCTTTAAAATTAAGACAAAAGTCCCTTTGAAATGTCATTATAACATAACTCTTTATGGATGAGAGGCGAAACTTGCAGCTCCTGACTTCATGAGCGTTCCCATATCCAGGTAAATTCTGTTCCTTTAATTAAGGGGAAGTCACTTCATCTTAAATAAAAAGAAATCTTCCAGAGATTTTCTTTCTGATTATTGCAGTTTTTGGATCAAGTACCCTGAAACTGGAAACATACCAAATGTTTTCTGTATCTGAACAATGGTGGGAAGAAACTGTGGAATTGTTTTTGGGAAATTTATTTACTGGCTTATGTGTAGATGAGGAGGCCTCAAAATTTTAAGAAATGCCAAGATTCTTCAGAGCAAAGTTTGATGTCATTGAATTAACAGTTCTTTAACCTTGCAACATATGATCAGATTTTCTTCTGTGATTGTTATATTTATCTACTATTGTAACTATAGGGAGTATCAGGTCTTGGTTTTTTTGTCTAGTGCTTATTATGATTTCTTAAAGGAAGATAAGGATTTCAACATTTTCATCCTTAGTTTTCTACGTTTTAGTAATTTCTTTTCACTGCAGTTACATATCCATGGGCAGAGGCAGCCTTAGAAAATACAGGGTCCAGTTCAGAGAGAAAGGTATTTGGTTCTTAATACCAACATATTCCTTTCCCTAAATTTAGAAAAATATAACATGGCCTCAGCTATGCATACTGAGGTCACTGTTTTGCTGTTTTGTGCTACCTCTGTTCTTGAAAATAGGCAGACAGTGTCTGTGAAAAACTTGAATGTTCGTAGGGTGTACAACAAACAGTAAGCTTGAGGCTTTTCTGTTTTCTTTCAGTACACACTTGTTTTTGCTTTACTAACTTCATTGTCACCATGTGGCCACTTGTAAGAAAGACTAAGCTTTGGCACTACTTGCATTTGGCTTGAGTTGCATGCAAAATAAATGCATTTCCGTATTGACAAGGAACACAGATTGTAATGTTTTTCCGCACAGAAGGGAAGGTTTTCTCTCTAGGCTGCAACAGTTCTAGAAGATCCAAGTATTTGAAGATGGCGTTGGATTCTTGACTCAAAGTAATTTTTCCCCCTTCTTGGCAGCACTTATTTGCCTTGGCAGTAGATGAAGATCCTGAGGTTCGAAAGAATGTTTGCAGAGCATTAGTAATGCTGTTAGAAGTGCGAATTGACCGACTGATCCCTCACATGCATAGTATCATCCAAGTAAGTACTCTTGCTTTGCAGAGTTGGTCTCTCTAAACCAATGATAGCAAACCTACAACATGCATGTCAGAGGTGACATGCTGCAACATTTTGGGTGTCACGCAGCATTTACCGATTCCTGACAACTATTCACCCTGTTGATGTTTACCAAACGTAATGTTTACGATGATTACCAAAGAAGTTGAATGAACAACGATACAAATATGTGACCCTGCTCCATCCAGTCTGAACTTTTTGTTTACATTGTGCAAAATTCTTCTGGAAGTTGATATTTGTTCACCAGTTTTTTGGGGAACAGAGACAAGAAAGGGATAATGTGTGTTAGCTGCTTGTGTTGCTCCACTGGTTCGTAGAAAAGTTCATTTTCACTGATTTATGCTACTTACATGACAAGTCCCAAGCAAATATGTATCAAGTCACTACCAACTGCAGGTAGTCCTCGACTTACAACCATAATTGAGCCCAAAACTTATATTACTAAGCGAGATATTCGTTAAAAGTGAGGTTTGCCCCATTTTCAACCTTTCTTGCACAGTTGTAAGTGAATCGCTACAGCTATTAAGTTAGTACACCGTTGTTAAGTGAATCTGGCTTCTCCATTGACTTTGCTTGTCAAAAGGTTGCAAAAGTTGATCACATGACCCCAGGACACCGCAACTGTCATAAATATGAATCTGTTGCCAATACTCTGAATTTTGATCACATGACCCTGGGGATGCTGTAACAGTGATGTGAAAAACAGTCATAAGGCACTTTTTTCAGTGCTGTTGTAATTTCAAACAGTCACTAAATGGAATGTTGCAAGTTAAGAACTACCTGTATTCCCTATTTAAAAATGAAATTATTTATTTCCAAGCTGGGTTTTCTTTCCCTCCAAAGCCTTCAGAATTAAAACCCACAAATTAATATTCCTTCAAGTACAACTCTAATTCTACAACAGGAGAAATTAATTAATTTTACAAGTCATTAAATAATACTACTAGTATAATCATAATGAAAGCTGAAGATTTTTTTTAAAGAAAATATTTAAGAAGAGTCACTAAATGAGCTGTTGTAAGTCAAGGAATACCTGTACTGCTTTTTGCAGGAATTTTAGTATTCTGTAAGACAGATCTAGCAAATACAAAGCAAAAATAATGGTTTCTTGAATCAAAGCTTTTATGTCCCTGGTTTTGTCTATTACAGTATATGCTTGAGAGGACTCAGGACAGTGATGAAAATGTGGCATTGGAAGCCTGTGAATTCTGGCTGACGTTGGCTGAGCAACCCATCTGCAAAGAGGTGCTATCTTCACCTCTAGTACAGTGAGTAATTGAAGAGCAGCAGTAGAGCACTGTCTACTTTTTGATGCATGGACTTTGTTTTCATGTAGCAAGTGATTTGATATTTACATTGTGAAAACTTGCATATGGTTCCGCTATTGTATCTTTTCTTAACAGAAGCTTTGTGCAAAAAGGAGGCCGACTAAGACTTAGCTGCCACTAAGCTGATTTTGCTTATCTGAGTTTCAGCTAGGCTTTACTTTACTTTACTTTACTTTATTTTTGATTTATATCCCGCCCTTCTCCCAACGGGACTCAGGGCA